TTCCTCTGGGAGTGTACGGAATAAAGTCTCCATCTGAGCGGAAGAAGACCACTGGTTCCTCCCTCACACAGATGAAAATCACCTCCTGTTCACATATTTTGTGGGATAAACAGCAATTAACCTGATATCATTATTTGAAGGTCTATCTGCAGAAAATATGGTAGTCAAGGTGGTCAAGACCTCTGAGATGGGACAGATCAAAATCACGATTTTACAGGATAATACAGACATTTGATTGTTTTTGATCAAACTAGTTACTTCACATGCTACACTCTTAAAAATAAAGGTTATTTACTGGCATAAATGGTTCTATGAAAACCTTTAATATTCATGGAATCAATCCATTGCACAAAACTTTCTTTAGATTATAAAAATGTTCTCCACACTTAAAAAAAATGGTTCTTAACTGTTCACTGACAGGTTCTTTGGTGAACCCAAAATGGTTTGTTCTATGGCATTGCTGCAAATGGCTCCTATTTTTAAGAGTGTATGTTAATTTTATACTACATGATAGCTAACAAATCTAATAGTTCTTAAAGGAAAAAAATGTAATAGGACCCCAAAGTGAACTGTATTCATGGAAAGTGCCTCACTGCCTTTCATCCTACTCGGCAAGGACAAGAAGCACTCACTGACCTCAAAGCCGTCAATCTGCAATCTCTGGAGGACCTGTTTGAAACCATTCAGGCTAGGTTGGCCCATTCCAAAAAGGGGGTAGTTTCCCTTGACCTTGCGGAAGTTGGGGGCCCCGTGGCTTTTTGTAGTATTTAAGACATCAGCTCTATTGTATACATCCTGTACCATAAAAAACTCCCCCTGGACAATATAAAAGCAAGTCATAAAACTTATTTCATCGTAAATGACAAGAAATTTCCATAATTGATCTACATTTCCTGCTCATTACTGCATTTTCCATTACATCTCCAGGCTTTTTCAAGTATTAAGCTCTAAATATTTAATTTAAATCTCAAAAAGTGAAACATACCAGCACTAGGTAGTGCTCCGGCAACAGGTCAGATATCCTTCCCATTGAGTAGTTGGCAGATTGGATCTTGTCATGAATCTGAAACTCTTCCCTGCAGTTATTTCTGTATAGAGAAATACTCATAACATCTATCAAAATGTCATACATGAAAAACCCACAACTGATAATACATTGTCTCGTCCCTTACCGGGATGAAAATGAAATGAAAATTCTGTCATCATTTACTCACCCTCCACTTTATAAACCTGTTTGAGTTTCTTTCTTCTGTTGAGAGCAAAATAAATTTTAAAGCAACCAAAAGGTTGATTTCCACAGTATTTTTTTTTCATACTATGGAAGTCAATGGCTACTGTCAACTGTTTGGTTACCAAAATTCTTCAAAATATCTTCTTTTGTGTTGCAGGTTTGGAACAACTTGATGGTGAGTAAACATTTTTGGGTGAACTATCCCTTTAAGTGAAAGTGAGGTTGTTGACGGTATCTACAATAGTTTTCTCTCAAAGAGTAACACACAGGCGTGACATTTTGTGCATATGAGGGCCCTTACGGCCAGTTTTAAAAAGCATCATGTTGCACTTGTCACTTACGTGATGACAACAGGGGCCACCTTGTTTGTGATGATGGATTTGGCTTTGCTGTTGCGAATGTTCACCGACTGTAGTGAGCGTCTGTGCTCAGCCATGACGTTCCCTTGGTGATCGGCCTGGTGTGTAGGTGCAAACGGAGCAGCCTGGGAAGTTGCACTGGCACTCGTACCCATAATCTGCACAGAGCTGGAATGAGGCTTTATACTGTGACTAATATAAAGTAAACAGGCAGACATGTTAGTCATTTTACATGGGGTTATTTCTAACATTTGCACTTTTTAAAGAGCCAGATGCACTTTGTGCTGCAATACCACAGAGATTCAATTTCATGGAACCCCAACACATGTAATGCACAACAAAACCTCCAAATAAAACACATTATTGAAGCTTTGAATGTGTTCTACAGACCTACAAGTACGTAAGACTATCAAATGTGCATGTGCATATCATCTCTGTCATATTTGATTGTTAAATGAATGGCTTACGGTCTCACAGCTGTGCCGCGTGTGGTCACATCCTTTGGTTTTTGCATCTTAGTTTCAGCAAGGGTTCAGGTCTCTCTTTAAGTGTAAATCCTGTCAACACGAAATCAGTTTCCTGTTGCTAGCAGAATCTTAACATAAAAAGCCTTTTGTTTTAACTTCAACAACCACTGCTGAAGATTTGCTAATCTCTTTTCTTCTCTTTCTCGCTCAGTGCCTCTCTGGTTCTCTTCTCACAGTGACAGGATAGCCGTTCTAACCCTTCTGGGGGCCACAAAGAAATACAGTACATCTGGCAACCAGACGACAGTGTGGGCGGCTCCAGACATTCACAGGGACAGCCCATGCAAAGGTCATGATACAGAAAGCCAAAAGTGAGAGAACGTGCAAGATTAAAGATTTCTGATGCCTTTGAATCTACTGAAATCTGAAAGTGTTTGAAGTCAGAATTATGAAACCAATTGAATCTCCTCCATGCACTGCAGCGATAATGCAGTTAATTAAACAAATCCTGTTTTTTCCCCTCCTCCTTCATAAGATCAAGTTTGTGCCAGAGAGATATCACTGGGAAATATATGATAGCTCTGCGAATGTCATTAGGACATTCCTGCCTTGTTTATATAACTGGCTGGTCTATTGAAAGTTTGGGATACTGAGTCGCTGGCACCAAGAGCAATGCTTCCCTTTTCAGGGGCTTGATTTAAATTCCAGTTGTGTCTGAGTATCACGGTCACAGAACAAAAAACAACAACAAAAAATCTCTAAATATGGATGGGAAAGCATTTGTACAACGCTGCACAGATCAGTGCACAGATATGCAGTGAGTGGGAGTGACCAGTGATTGGCACATCCTTGTTCAGGCTGAGAAATGAGGAGTTTAAAAACGACCGCAGTGTTTTGTTCATGCGTGTTAAACTTTCAGTCAACACATTCAGAATCTGAAAATACTGAAACAATTGAGTTACAATCACAAGTGGCTGTGTAACAATTACACACACTGCAACACAGTTTTTAAAATGCATATGCGAGTCAAACCAGGCCCTAAAAAATAAATAATAAATAAATAAAAATCAAGATTTTCTCTGAACAACTAATAACTTTTGCTAATAATAAAAAAAAATTGTATTATCCTAAGTAAATGTCAAATTATTGTAAATTGGTTAATTCACTAATTTTGCCATGTTTTCAATTCTTCGTGCCACAGCCTGAGATTTTCATTTGTTTATTGATGGCTTTCGCGGCAACTGTATCAGTCAAATGATGTCTTCATTTGGCCATTAATAAAATGAACTATAGAATATTTGCAAATAAAGAATATTTTTTATATTAGTCAGTGACTCTTTCTGCATATTACATTGATACGCCAGGAGGTGGCGAGTGAGAATGCATGGAATCATCCACGCAACCGATTCGTTCAAAGAAACAGTATTATGTGGCTTCGTTTGGAACTACTTTCGTTGCTCGTTTCGAAGTAAAAACAAAAAAACTGACAATATAGTGTCTAAAAAGCAATACTCTAACTTACTTTAACTTGATTAAACTGTTTTATAAAAACAATATCCCATTCTCTATCAATTTTGTTTCACAATGTTCTGAGAGTTCATGTAAATCAGCTCTTGTACACTTAGTAGCCTAAGTACATGCCCACCACCAGCACTTCACAGGATGCTGACTAATAAGAGAATCAAACTTAGCTACGCCAAGTTAAATTTAAATCAAAAAGACATAATTGTACACTTAATAGAGCAAATATTTCTACCGTGAAGCAAAGACAAGGTAATAGTGAAAGTAAATATCATAAACGTTACCTCACCTGGATACCTGCTTTCTCAGACACCTGTCAGGCCTTGAGAGAGGCAATGAAACGTAGAAGACGATCGAGTCCACGTCACACTCATCTTGAGTCCTGTCAATTAATGTCCCTCACTGGTCCAAAGACATGCAGTCAGGTGTCAATCCATAAGAGCTTGTCTCAACATAGAGCAGTGCAGATGGATAACAGTGGGAAGAGAGGAGGAGGAGAGATGGCCACCTCCCTCTTTCACTGGCAATAAATGTTATGGAAGAGGAGGATGATGGTGGGTGGATTTTCATCTTTTCAGCAGTAAGTAACAGCTCCATCTCCCAGCAACGGTGCTGCTGTCATGCCTGAAATGTTGAAAAGCCTGCGATGTGGGGGACGGAGTATGACACTAAATTTAAACAGTACGATTTTAATAATATTCTGGATTAGCAAGACTTGATTTTCTTGTAACGGTGATGATAGTTAATCGCAATGTCTCAAACTCAAGTTATTGCATATTGCAGAGGGTAATTTTGCTCACTGGCGGCCAAGTTCTTAATTTTCACCACTGCCACTGTGTCGAATGTCTTTCACTGCATTGAAAATAGCCTCTGCTTGAACTGCTGGTGTGAAGTGGACACATTGTGTTGCCACGAGTTTCCAAGCAACTAAGCTCTCTTCATGAGGCATTCATGTACTGTAATAAGGGCTTCTAGAACGCCCCCTTTAGTATAACACAGTTTAGCATTTACAAAACCGGAGCCGGTGTTCTGACGATTTGTGCTACCCTGTCAGATTTTGCTACCTCCCATTTAAACAGATGGTAGCATAATTCGATAGCGAAAAGTGCTACCTATCAGATTTTGCTTCCAGCATGATATTAATAAGGTGTGAGGCTTTATTAACATGTACACCTACCCTTACAGTAGGATAAATAGTGTTGGTAGCATAATCTGATAGGTAGCATTATTTGTCAGAACACCGGAACTAACTTACAGAGGACCAGAATCTTTTATTTTATTTTGCATTCATAAAACTAAGAGCTGCACACTTTTACCCTACTACTCCATCCAGCGGCAAACCCTAGTATTTCAAACTCAACATATTGTTTACATGACATTCAAGCAAAATGCACAAGCATTTGGCAGAGAAGACAAACAGAGTTGATATCAAGGAACTTTTATTGATCTTGCTGTAACAGTGTCCACTGTCATTGGCCAGTAAAAATTAAATTGAACAGGGTCTCAAAGAAGAAAGAAAATACAGTTTCCAATTTCTGCCACATTAGATCAAACTTTCATCCTAAATCCCATTGAAGAGCTAAATGCATTTCTGAACGTTTCTGAGACCTGGGGAAAGTATGAAGAAAAAGTAAGCAGTGATCTTTAAAAAAAAAAAAAAACAAATAACCAAACGTCCATATTTCAGAGTTGAAACAAACTGGGATTAGACAAATCTATTACAGAAGGACAGTATATCAAGTTCCCTTTACTGTAAATCATTATTACTTTAACATGACTTTTAGAAAAGTCTATAAATCAAACCGGAAATGAAAATGTGCATCTAATTGTCAAGGATATCACCAGTATTGAATATTTCATAGAAAGTTAACTGCAACCGATCAAAGTCAAACCTAAACCGTGTTTATTTTAACCAATCCATTACCATTACAAATATTACACTGCTGTATTGGCAAAACTTTCCATCTCTGTAAGAAAGTAAATAATAACATGTTTCCAAAAATATAATGTTTTCTAGTAAAACATAGCAATATTTGATCTTATCCTCAACTTGAGAGTTGGAAAGAAATCAAACAGAAAGAAACTGATCCACTATTTAAGGTATGAAAGGGAACAGTATTTGACAGCTGCTCAGCTTAGTAAAGTAAGGCATGGATACAGAGGCTAAGCACAAGAGATCACTGTGAGAGAAAAAAAAACTGCTTCAGAGAATGGCTGGAGCACAGAAAGAGACAATTAAAGTCATGAGAATAAGTCTTATCCTCTTTAAGTCACTTTGTTTGGATAATCTCTTTGCTTAATTCTCTTTCAATATTAATCAAACCTTCTCGTCTTCCACAAGATTTGGCATCCCCCACCCAAAAAAAACAACAACATTTAAATGATCTGATGTGTGAACTAAATTAGACTAAGAAGCAGATCAAAAGAACATGCATAGAAGAGCATTGGAAAGATTCAATTCAAGTTTTCAAGATGTTTGATCTGAATGAAAATATGAATGTCTGGTCACTACAAAACTATCCATCTTTAAAAGAATCGTTCACATTGTGTGGCTGTGAGACAGACAATAGTAAAATGACCAAAACAACACTTCAGTGCTTTCCTACCTTTGATTTGATTATCAAGGTTCATAAGGATTGTAGTAATCGGAAAGTGACAGTAGATGTCACAGCTGATATTAATGTTAAATATTCACTGTGCTATTTCTCCCATGAAAGGAGCCGTAAGATGTGTACTTATTAGGTATATAATGCAAGTGCTTCCTGAGACCAGCTCTCTTTTTGTCATCGTTTTATAAAGTATCTTAAACCCTTGATCAGTTCAACAGTACTTGGTAACGTCTACCTTTAACCAGAGAGTGTGAATTCGGAGCTGATGTTGACGTTTCAAGTGTCTCGCCATGCAAAGGTAGGTACAAATCACACTGTTAACAGGACAAATCTGAACAGAAACATTCTCCAAAAGTAAACGTTTGGTCATTCAAAATTGCGATCAGATATCATTACTTAACTTAAATTGAACCTGCTAAAAGGGCGAAAGTAAATTAGAAGGCTATGGACTGAAATGCAAATTTTGGGGTAGTTCTAAATAAAACTAGAAAATTTGTTTGGCATCGTGATCCTATATAAAGTAGTAATTAAGGTCTGTGGTCTGTTTTTGGCCAATTCTATAAAACAATTTTTCTGACCTGAACAAATACCTGAAAAATAAATCAACTGTTTTAACTGATATAAAAGATTTGGAATGAATACAGAATCCTTTCATTTTTTTTAATCAAAACTGTGGTGATAATCCTGCTGTCCATTTTAAATAAAACTAAAAAAAAAATTCTAGTAATTGTTTTGGATGGAAACCCCCCCAAAAAACTTACATTTGGGAGGACATGTACATACAGATAACTGCATTTCCTGACTTGAGTGCAAATCAGTTTACATGTGAACCAAGTAGACTGCATTAAGGGTATCAACTGGAACAGTGTACAGTGAACAATCAGCAGTACATTTCTGATGGCTGATTTGTTTATGAGTCTATTACAGTAAATTGGTAACATATCCGGGCACTTACAATACAGATTTTTTCCCTTGCTCTGTGACTTAAGCAAGTACAGCTGATGGAAGCCCTGAAACCTAAACGAAAAGAGCTCAACAGGCTCACAGGTTAACTTTCAGGGCTCCAGCAGCCCCACTGGGCAAACTTTTGTCATTTATCCCCATGATTATGCAGCACCCAGCAGCTAGAGAGAGCTAAAGGAGAGGGCTCACAACATTGGTTTCTACAAGCCAAGCCACTGGCACACAGGTACCAGGTAATTAATCTTCAAGTTGGTTCCTCTTCTTTAGATGTCCATCTCAAACTGAGCATCTTCACCTGCAACACACACACAAAAAAAAACCCATAATTTGCATCATGCATGACCACTAAAAGAGAATAGTGTGAGCTAACACTAGTCTAACCCTCCAACCAGACCCATTACTGTTTGTGTACATAAGATGATCGAGCAGAAAGCAGGGAGGTTCCAGTGGAAACAGTTCCAGTTCAGTCAGTTTTAAAGACCAACCTTGCCCTGACTTGGCATCATGCTTGTTGATGTTTTTAGCCTCATTCCTCTTGTTTTCATTCAGGACGTTCTTGCTTGTCACTCCTGGGATAACCGGCAGGTGTGCTGGTGGAGTCTGGGCGATGGGTGAGTTACGCCGGTCTAACAGGAACTTGCGATCATAGATTATTCGAGTTCCTGCATTGTCATTATAAACAAACTGTTATGAGCCAGTTTTATTACATAACTACCATCCTGCATAAAATGTCATAATCCTGAAGCAATCTGACACATTTCCTTTTGCGTTACAAAGAAGAAAACAGGTCATATGGGATTGAAAACAACAAGAGGATGAGTAAATTATGACAATTGAGTGAATTTTCCCTTTAATGATGATCATATGCCTTAGAAATGTGAAACAGACATTACTATGACACATTTTTAATGCTGTTGAAATCACAAAGATGATTAATGTGACCAATTTAGTATCAGTGGTCACAGCAAACAATAATTTAATTCTTTAAACAGTATAATGCCCCAATGAAAACCAAAAGCACAACAATAGCAATGACTGACAGCAATCAAGATCACAAATGGTAGGGTGTATACTGCTACACGTGCCGGTCTCTGTATACGTTTAATGTAATGCATTCTTTTGTTCCGTCTTATTCTGCCCATCAGTCACTGCGGACCAATCATGTTGATCAGAGAGACGCACAGGCGGCGCTGTTTTTGTTTTGAACTACATGGCTGGGTCTCAAAAGCCTAGTAAGCTGCCTTCCTAGTAGGCAACATATTTTGGTCATCGTCGATTTAAACCTCTCGACAGTTTGAGCGCTATCAGACTGTCTACATGCAAACTAACTAAACGTTCTTACGACCCCTAAAATACTGTCTAAGCAGGCTAAACACTAGGTTTTGAGACACAGCCTTTTATGTGGTTACGGCTTCCTGGCCAACACAGGCCACTCTCTAACATTAGACGGTCTCCATGTAAACAACAGGCAAACGGCTGCAGATATAAGCCTGGACGTACAGCACACGTCTCAGGCGGGGTATTACCTCCCGGGGTGGTGGAGAATAAAGTGCCTCCGGGAGTGGTGCAATAGTCGTGAGGTAGCTGCGTTGAGTCGTTGATCAGCACCGTCCTGGTCGGGATGGCCCTGCTCTCACTAAACTGACGACTGGACGACATTGTACTTGCTTCGGGTGCTAATCAGAGTCGAGCAATAAGTTATCCCGATGGAAGGCAAAAATCTCGGGCCCTTTCCCCTCGTTTCTTATCTCTTTGCCAAGGCTTTCTTAACGTTCAGCTCGTCCTCCCAGCCGTCAGCACCGTCCCCTCCCTCCGCCAGGCAGGAAGCGAAGAGCGCTGGAAGGATATGACGTCCAGGGAGAATTGCGTCGCACAAACGCCCACCTCGCGAAACGTCATTATTTTCATTTTAATATTCAGTACAGAAATACAGAAATCATTCTAATATGATTATTTGGTGCTCAAGAAATATATATATATATATATATATATATGCTGACCAGCTACAGTTGAACTCGTTAGAAAATAAAGGTAAGACTTGACCAGGCTGTAAAACCAGCTTAAACCAGCCAAGAGCAGCAAAACAGTTTAGGGGTTTAGGCTTAGGGTTTTAGGTGCAAATATACAAAACTGCCTTTGAACACATAAAAATTAACCGCATTAAAAGTGTGATATTTCACATTTCTTTTTACAAGACCTTCTAGCACTGTCACTGTCTATCACTGCCGATTCACAAATCAGATGCACACACAGTAGGTCTTTTGCGCAGTTCAGTCTCTGCGCATGCGCGATTTCCTCAAGCCAGTCGCTGCTGTCCTTTTTACACACGTCCTACCGGAATCAATACACAGGGCGCACAATATGAGTTTCTCCATTGAAGAAAGAGGAAACCCTAACACTTTGAGTTATAGGCTTTATTTCAGTAAGTATGAATTCTGTTCTTCGGGGATTGGTGATGAGAAGTTTGTACGGTCAGGTCAGTTCATTGAATTAAGATGAAAGGGGCTGGGCCGCAAGTCCCACGTGTCGCTTTTCCTCGCGTTATTTATGACCTAAAACCTAATCAAATTCATAAATGTAATGATTTTACGAATTAAGTTGATATTCTGTTCATAAAGTTTATTTTATTGTCTGATTAATTGTAGCTTTGTGCAAAGTTATTTTGATATTCGGTTCATAAAGTTTATTTTATTGTCTGATTAATTGTAGCTAAGGGTAATATGTTATTATTAACAAACAGTGCAACATTTGTTTGCATTGTTGGTATAACCTAAGCTCGTTAAAATGTGTAATTGAAGGACGGGTGAATACAAGGTTGCTCATAGCATAGCATAGCTTTCACAAATTATCATAGAATATCTTTCTTTTTTTCTGTTATACTGTCTACATTGTCTAAAATGATTTCAGGTGAATAAAATATAAAGTTAGTAAAGCATATATATTGGACAATTTTCCACAAAACTGGGTGTGTTTTGTTTATTTTAGTTGCCACCTGTGCATTAGACTTCTCACCCTTAGCAGCAGCATGACGTTACCTGCTCAAGTAACATGATTGACAAGTTATATGCACACAAGGCATGATCATTATCATTAACCTGTGCAGTTTAAAGCAATAATTCACTGAAACATACACATTCTGTCATCACTGATGCAATAAAGCTGGCTTTCTTCTTTGGAACGCCTAGTCAGAAGTTGTGCAGAATATCTCAGTTGCTTTCTTTGAACATGAATATTGGTGTGATGAATTCTGTTATGTTTGGGTTTAATTGATATTTCTGCTTCCAAAAAGTCAATAAATGCTTCAGAACATACAATTAAATAAAGTTTTAAGTGCCTGAGCTTGACCAGAACACATTTCTTAAAGTCTGGTATACTCTTTTATAGAAATACTTCATTAAATTATCACACAGGCATGTTCATTTTTCTCACTTTAAAAAATAATAAAAACTAGGGGGGGGGGAAATGTATCAATTTCAAGATAAACAAATTTGTGCCTCAATATGGAAATCAGGTGCTCAGCCAGATAACATCATACTGATCAGATAACATCAGTAATATTTGCCTTTGAAATATTTATTTGTACGGAAATATGTTATGCAATTCAAACTTTTTTTTTTTTTTTAAACAGAGAACTCAGATGGAAAGTACATTTCACCATTCCATGACATACCTATGTATGCAGATGAAGCTCAGGTACATTATGTTAATTTAATATGTTCTAAGTTTTTTTTCTCATAAACAATAGAGGACATGGTGGCATTTTTTGTTCAGTTATTTTTATTTGTGCCTTAATATGGAAATCAGGTGCTCAGCCAGGGTTTAAGTGATCAGATAACACTGATCAGATGAAATCAAGATCAGCTTCCTTTTTAAAATATTTATTTGTACAGAAATATGTTATGCAATAAAAAATGTTTTTTCAACCAGAGAACTCGGATGGAAAGTACATTTCACCATTCCATGACATACCTATGTATGCAGATGAAGCTCAGGTACATTATGTTAATTTAATATGTTCTAAGTTTTTTTCTCTCTTAGTCTCAGTGTAGATCCCCCTCCCTTATGGGCCCCCTTTGGCAGTGAATGGCCATTTCACAATCCAGCACAGTGTATATCAGCTCTTTATCGGGTGAAGGGACTTTATCTGTAAGAGTAGCGATCTTTACCCTTTCAATAGTGTCATCTTAAATCGTTCAATACTTTGGACTGCTCTGATATCTTACCTGTGTAAAACTTTGATTAATCATTCTCATCACTTACTCACTTTAAATTTTTTTTTTTTTGTAATACGAAGGTTAAATTATTATGGGAATGTCACATTTAGGCTTACTTAAAATGTTCCCTTTTTTATAAAAATAAATAATTTTTATTTTCTCTGTAGAACATTTTCCACATGGTTGTTGAAGTACCACGATGGACAAATGCAAAAATGGAGGTACAGTATGACCGACAGTGCAAAACTACACCACTTGCAGTATAACAGAATAAAATGATAGTAACAGGCTATTTATTTGCAAGATTATATATTTACATACCTAAAACATGAATGGTTACAGTAGTTACAGAGACCAAGTGATGTTGAAAGTAGAAGACTTTTTTAACCTACATTTTGTGGTTGGTTGTGTATTGACATTCAAACAAAATAATAACTCGTCAACCAATTGGTGTCTGCATGAATATTCTGTCATTCTATACGTCAACATTATGGTTTACTTTTCAGATTGCTACAAAAGACCCACTGAACCCCATTAAGCAAGACGTGAAGAAGGGCAATTTGCGCTATGTGGCCAATGTTTTCCCCCACAAAGGATATATTTGGAATTATGGAGCAATCCCTCAAGTAAGCCTTCAAAATCAACACTGATCACACATTAAACATAGAATAAACTGACTGAAGGTAGAAACCGCTTCAGTTTCTGCAGTCATAGTTAAATGTTTAAATCTTTTGTTTGTTACAACACTAATAATGCACTACTGTTCAAAGGTTTTGTCAGGTTTTTTTTCTCCTTTGTTCACCAACGTTGCATTTATTTGATTAAACATACAGTAGAATATTGTGAAATATTCCAATTAAAATGTTCTTCTATTTTAATATATTAAAAAAATAACTTTTTCCTGTGATGGCAAATCAGAATTTTTCAGCAGCCATTACTCCAGTCTTCAGAGTCACATGATCCTTCAGAAATCATTCTAATATGCTGATTTGCTGCTCAAGAATCATTTCTTATTATTATCAATGTTGAAAACCGTTGTGCTGCTTAATATTTTTGTGAAAACCGTGAAACATTGTTTCTGCAGCATTCTTTGATGAATAGAAAGTTCATAAGAACAGTTTTTATTCTGAATAGAAATGTTCTGTAACATTAATAATGTCTTTATGGTTACTTTTGATCAATTTCATGTATACATGCCGAATAAAAGTGTTAATTTCTTTAAAAAAAAATTAAATAAATCTTATTGACCCCAAAACTTTTAAACGGTAGTTTATATGCATTCCATCTTCATGAACACAACTTTAAATTGATTATTTTAGTAATTGTGTGAGTATGATTTAGTATGACTTGTCAATATGATTGTACAGATTTTCCTTAAAGGGGTCATATGATGCTGCTAAAAAGAACATTATTATGTGTATTTGGTGTAATGAAATGTGTTTATGCGGTTTAAAGTTAAAAAAACACATTATTTTCCACATACTGTACATTATTTTGTGGTAGATATGTGGGGGCGTGTTCGAACGAGCCGTTTTAGGTAGGTGTGGCTAACTCTTAACTTTTATAAAGAATATCTCTTTGGATTTGAGACTTTAGTCTTTGCAAATTTACAGATCTTCTTTATGCACCAAGAGCTTGTAACACTCCAAAGAGAAAGGAAAAAATGAAATCGCATCATATGACCCCTTTAATTTCAGGAGAAATGCATTTAATCTAATTGCTTTCCAGTGGTCTTAGTGGAGACGGTTTAGCATTATTCAAACTGAAATCAAAAACCTTTCTTGTAGATGTGAATTACAAGTTCCATTGTGTCTTTTACCCCCTAGATTTTACAACGATTTTGTTTAAATCTTTTCTGACAGACTTGGGAAGACCCCGGGCACAAAGACAATGACACAGGGTGTTGTGGTGACAATGACCCGATCGATGTCTGTGAAATTGGAAACAAGGTATAGATATCAGTGTTTGTCTTTTGAAATATTCTATGAAATTTATAAAGCAATCTGTCATATGTGCAATTCTATTTGGTTTAGATAAACAAACCCCACAATGCTTGATCTTTGCAGGTGTGCTGTCGTGGAGATATTATCAGAGTGAAAGTTCTGGGTGTTTTAGCAATGATTGATGAAGGTGAAACTGACTGGAAAGTCATTGCAATCAATGTTGATGACCCTGAAGCAAAGGACTTGAACAGTAAGTAACATTTGTTGCTTTTCACTTGACTTAGAATAGAGACGCATATATGTGGTTGTTGCAATTTTTCTGATGTGAAATTATAGACATTAGTGACGTGAGGCGACTGAAGCCTGGCTACCTTGAGGCCACAGTTGACTGGTTCAGGAGGTACAAGGTACCTGATGGGAAACCTGAAAACCAGTTTGCATTCAACGGAGAGTTCAAAAACAAGGCATGTTGTTCAGAAAATTGTTGTAAACAAGCTTTAATTTGTGATTGGTCATATTCGTCATATAAATATTCTACATTTATTCCAGGACTTTGCCATTGAGACAATCAAAGCCACCCATGGCTTCTGGAAGGCACTGATCTCACAACAAACCAATGCTGGAGAACTAAACTGGTAAGGGAGTGTTTCTTCAGTGGCCTGCATTTGTTTGCTCATTTTGCATAG